CCCCAAAACCCCAAAACCCCAAAACCCCAAAACCCCAAGAAGTTGTGCTCATATTGGAGGCCATGAGGTAAATTCAAAATAAAGAATAAATGCTTATCCAAAATGAGATATTATCAACAATTAAGTGTGTTTCTGACTAAACTAGATCTTCTGGAGATTGGTGTTGATAAATTCATAGACTCCAAATGAGATGGCTCATACTAATATTGACCTTGTCATGGCAACAGAGCATCCTCTATGGAAGTATTTAATGCCGTATTTTTTGTATAAATGAATGGTAGTATTCAAAATCGAACGCTTTTCAGGATGGTATTGGATATAAGTTCTAACTGAATCTACCGGGTAGCCAATGAGTCAACATAACTGCCCAGCTAATCCTCCAGCAGCAACCTTCTGTGCATAGTAAGATATAGGAGATGCTTCTTTTCTCTTATCTATCGAACTGAAGAATTGTCCAAATTTGTCATACGAGTAAAATGTAATTCCGTATTGAGGAACTATTCTGGCAAACGTAATCCAAAATCCCCGATAAAGACCTTGCACACCATTTTGTTTGACAATGTCTGAGATAAGTTCTGAGTAGGTAATAGTCCGATGCTTCATCCCTTGCTTTTTGATTTTAAGTAAGTCAGTAGGAACGATGAAAAATAAAGTTGTAAACCCAGCAATTCAACCAGGCAATGATTCCCTCAATATTTTAGGTAATGAGGTGTTCTTTAGCATTCTTTTTGAAAAATCATTCACTGCAAACAGAGATGCAGTTACAGGGGCTGTTCCTACAATTGGAGAAATTGCACCTTTATAAAATCCTCTGACACCTTCTTTGTAGAAAATTCTTGTTAAATGTCTATGAAGAGCCATCTGGTCACCAGTCACCTGGATTCGAACCTTAATAGTATCGAGTGGGTGTCCAATGTACTTGGCTAGGCCACCTGAGATAAATCCGCTGGTGAAGCTTTTAGCAAACTTAACTATAGGAGAGTTTTTATCTCTAAATCCAAGCTTGTTCTCCATTTATCCTTTATATTATCAAAATAAGTTTAAAATTCCTGGGGTTTTGGGGTTTTGGGGTTTTGGGGTTTTGGGG